AAATTCGAACTCAATGTTACCTTTATGGCGTACAAAAATGATAAAAGACTAGCCTACTTAACAGATCCTCAATATAGAATTGATTTTCACAGAGATTAACTTAAAGTCTATATTAAAAGATTTTAGCCATTTCCTATTGTTAATATGTATTTTCGTAATTAATATTAACTTGTTGCAGATGGATCTGAACTACCCCAGACCTGGACATCGTCCTATTCCATCAACATTCAAATTCCCCAACACCGCTTATGCCCCGCCAAACATACCTCCTGGCTACGGAACAAGCCTATATCATGCTGAAAACCTGGACCCGGATAACCTGCTTGCAATGGAATTGGAGGAAATATCCGGAAATCGTAAATCCAATGATCTGATTAAGTGCAGTGCCGATTCAAAGGTTAAAGGCCTCGAAATTGATAAGCGTAAACTAGAGCAGGAGTACAGCTATTCCAAAAAGTGCAAGTTTACACAGGTTATGCGTTAAAGCTGCAGTTCTAACATGCACATTCTAATATTTCGGTGAAGCGCCCTTTGTTATGTTAATTTATATTCTATCTTCAATTAATTTGGTGAAACGCCGTTCTAGTCTTCTTTCAATATTTTTCATAATTTTCTTTCATGGTGAAACACTGTATATAAGGTTTCAGAATTAATTGGTCAAAGGAAATTTCTAAGAATTTAGAAAATGAAAACTCTTGCTACAGAAAATATCATAATTGAAAAATGTTAATTTATATTTTGTTTACATGTAATTTGGTGAAACGCGGTTCTAGTCTTCTTTCATTAGTAAATATACTCTTTTTCGTCCTTAATAATGGTCTATCTTATGTTTCTGTAAAAGACTAAACTCAGCTTAAGTCAATACATGGATCTCATATAACTAGTCCTCACATAATTAACCTATCTTGTTTTAAACACTCTTCGTTGAAAATTCGAAACGAGATAATAGTGGTTATTTACTGGTGAATCGCCTCATCTTCTTTCAATTTTTCCAATTTTTGTATTTTTGGCAATTCATTCTGTCCCACGTCAAAGTTTCTGTTTCTGTTCCTTCCTACATATTTTAAATCGACCTTTATATTACAACCTAATGCTTTAGCTTCAGAAAGTATACAAAAAGGTCTTTCATTGAAAACATTTTTTCGTTCTATAGTGTTCTATTATTTATACCCAGGTTTAAAAAACCTCTCAACGTTAACATTTCAAAACGAGATTCCATTGGTTACTTAATGGTGTATCGCCTTATTCCTTTATTCTCTTATTCTTGTACGATATTCGCATCTTGTTCTCTTGATATTTTTATATTTTCATATTTTTTCGTATCATCTTCATAAATTCTGCCTTATGCTTCGTGTTACAAATCGTCCTTTTTTAGATTTGAAAAAGTGAAAACGTTTTTCTCGGTCCCTTCGATCTCTCATTATATGTTGCCAGTTTACTTTACTTTACTGTCTTTGCTGAATTTACTTTACTTTTAAATTAATACATGAAAACTGTGTCATTTATCAAATACTTATGATCTTTACATAAATAAATGATACCCTATGTAAAATAATAAAATCAAAATGTACGTATACTTGATATATATATAACGTTTACTTTGTTTACTATGTATTTTTTGATCAATAAAAAGATTTGAATAATAATAATACTAAACAGTTAGGAGGACTAAGTGAACTGCGCATATTAATACTAAACAGTTAGGAGGACTAAATGAACTGCGCATATTAATACTAAACAGTTAGGAGGACTAAGTGAACTGCGCATATTCATACTAAACAGTTAGGAGGACTAAGTGAACTGAACTATAGGTTGTAATATCTGAATGATTTGTTTGAAATTAAATTGATTTTTTACGGTCTAAGTCGTATGTTGCAATTTTCTCAATTTGTATGGCCGCTAAGTTATTCGGTATGAGACGTCTTTAACAATTTTCTCCTTATAGACGCAACAGATAGAAGTAAGATTAGTAGCGATCAAAAGCGCTTTTTTATCGCATAAAACCTATACCCCCTTTCATTTTTCGTGAACACTCCCTTTAATAAAAGCCGATATTTTTATTATTATAAATCTACCAATAACATTTAAATACTAAATTTTATAATATTATAAAATAAAAGTTGTTTTATTCGAAACGGAAGAGCCGGTTTTTACAGCTGAACCTAAAATATGTAGAATGTCTAAAAATATGATAAAACCTGAACAGAATTTGAAAATGTGCCAATTTCATTTCGCAAAATATACCGCACAGTCTGAATTTCTTTCCGAGCAATTCAGTTTAATATCTTTCCTTGTATCTATTCTACATATTTGCTAGTTTAGTAAAAACAGTTTTATCATAAAAAAAACATCTGTTTCTAAATACATAGTTTTAATCATTAATAACTAAGATTTTTTTCCTGGTGCAATGTTGTTTTATAATTTAATCATCATTATACCAATGTTTACAGTAATTTCAAGGGTATGTAATTTCCCAAAAACATTTTCCAAAGAGCGACTTACCCAAGAGACAATTCTAAAGTCACAACTTTCCAATTGTGAACTTTCACCAGTGGCAACTTTCCCCAGATTAGGTTAGGCCTTGTCAGGAGACACAGGCTGCTATGGGGGTCGAGAGCTTAGGAAAGATTTGGGAAGTTTCCGCTTAGAAAATTGCCTTTAGGAAAGGGCCTATTGTCATTTTAAGTGTCCGATAAAAGCTGTGTCTGATCAAGCAGGATATATTCGATCATAAAGGAATTGAGTCTTTGTCGCAAATTCAGTTTTTGTAAAACCTATATCTTTGCAACCTTTTGTTGTAAACCTTTGATATTTCAAACTTACATTATTTGCTCTAATAGCATTCATAGTTTGAAATATTAAAGGTCTACGACATTGGGTTGCAACGATATTAAAATTAGAAAATCAGAGTTTGTGGCAAAAACTCAATTCCTTTCTTTTTGAAATTAATAATTTTCACTTTTTATCTAAGAAAACATTAATATCGTAAAGTAAAGGTGTCTACTGTCTAGGGTATCGTAAAATTTAAAATCCACGAAAATATGACATTTTAAAAATAATGAAGTAATAAAAGTAATAAAGTAGAATACTTGTCAGATATGTTCTACATTGAAGATGAAAGCTTTGCTAAATGGTTTGAAATCATGTAAATTGAAATGTTTTACATTTTTATAATTTTAATTCAAATGTATCTTTTCATCATCAAATAGTCATTTAATATGTTAAAATTTTAGTTTTTTTTTCATTTTGGAACTTGTCAAATCTATTAACAAAGATAATTGAAAAAAAAACCTTTTTTCCGCTTAATTATGAAAACTTGAAAATTTCAAACAGTTTTGTAATTTTCGAAAATTGCGGGTTTTTGCAACTAATGTTTAAACATCAAAAATCTAAATTTAGGCTAGCATTATAAAAAAGGATGTTTTTGATTTGGCGTTGACAGGGCCTTGGAAATCTTTAGTTGAGGAAAACTTAAAAATAAAATTTAATAACATTCAAATTATAATAAATTTCTAGAGTTTTCGTATATCACCAAATGGGACACCAAATGAAGCTTTTTTTACTTAAGTCTAAAGTATCCCCCTTTCATTTTACCTTAACCGATCCTTTAACGAATAACCTAACAGGGGTTTTTGTTTGATAGCGAACATTTTCGTTAACAATTTCGTTAAACGACTTATTAACCCTGTATGCGTGTAAAGAAAGTTTGCTTGGCATCAAGATTTAACAAAATTATACGTTTATCATTATTTCAACATTTGTTCTTTCTGTTGGGAAGCGAACATTTTTGCAAAGGAACTGAGTTTTGCCACAAACTAACACCTATATCTTTTCAACCCGATGTTGTAGACCTTATATCTTTCAAATAGTTTAAGTTTAAAATATGAAAGGTTTACTCCAACAGGTTGCAAAGATGTATGGCTTTAAAATTTTAGTTTTTGACAAAGACTCAATTTTTTTTGAAAAAAATAATTTCATTAGCGGAATTTGGTCCAGCCCTATTGGTATGTACATCTTTAATGCAAAGTTAGTTAGCGAAACAAATCGGAAAACTAGTTTCATGTATTTAATTTTAACTTGAAATATATTTTCAAACTTTTATCGTTCCAAATTGTATCTTGTGCACCAAAGTCAGCCATGATCATAAAATGTTTTTTGGTTCTGGTATTTTTACTTAATTTGTAATCATAAAATTTCTATTTTCAAAAGCGTTTCCATCAGACATATTTTTATTTATTGTAAACTAGCATCTAAATTTAAGATATCATTTTATGATAAATTGCAACTTGAGGTTTTAGTGCTTTAATCGTTTTATTTCTATTTTTTTTTTTTTTTTTTAGATCAGTTGTCTTTCCTACACAATTTTTTCAGGAATAAAGGCTTTCAGCCCTTTTAACTCTAGCGTCTGTATTCTGGAATTTAATGATAAAAATCTACACAAAAGAAGACAATATTAATATTCATAATCTTCAATAAAAGAAAATGAAAAATTGTCTTCATCATATTTTCTATTTTTACTTTCTAGCCTGCAGTCCATAAATATTAATTTTGTTTTCGTGAAGCCATACAGGAAGTTTTTCTTAATTATCAAATTAAATTCAAATTGCGAAATTGCTTCTTTTTGATTTGTTTTTTCCAGTTTTTATTATTTTTCTGTTAATATATATTTATTTCCCCTCATGTTATAATGGATCCTAATAATATAAAGTATATCTATCCTAGTCAATAGAACCTAAGAATCTGTGTAATGAAGTGAAAGAATGCTATTTCTACAATATATCTAAACTTTCTTTGCCATTTATTGTTTCATCCCCGATTATGACAGCTTTCAAAACATTTGGTTTTTTCTACCTTTCTTTCTAGGCACAAAACCAAAATGCAAGATTCCCCAGATTTGTTTGTTTTCGTTGGTGGATTTTCTAAACTAAAATAGAAAATTACACATTTTTTTGAGAAAACATCTTTTACCCTTCCTTAGAGAGACGTCCCATGAGGCCGTTTTAACGTTTATTGGATACAAACAAACTGACAACACACATATATTAGACAATTATAATTTAGAAAACAAATTTCCTGTTTTCAAAAAGTTCCCAAATTGATGATCTCAGCTTGTTTTTTAGGGAAAAATTATTTCATCGATTTGATATCTTAAAGGTAGCAGCTTTACGTAATTTCACGTGACCCCAAGTAAAGGAAATTCATGCCGATTGTCAACAGTAATCTTTAAACCTTTCTTTAAACAACATTGAATAAATTATGTTAACAGTGTTCTTTGTTTCCGCTGCTAAAATCCAAACGTCACTTTCATAGAGAAGCCACAATTGGAAATTCTTATTTTTAAAGAAAAAAATAAGGATATTTTTTTGTCCTCCAGTGCCAATGACTATTCTTCTCTTAATAGTTGGTGCAATGATATTTTGTTATAAACTATATTAAATCACAATAGGAAAGATTTATCTTCTCTTGTATAAGCTGAAATCCATCCAGAATTCCTGAAATGATAAATTGATAGGACGGATCATTATATCAGGAGTATCATACAGGATGATTCAATAGACATGTGTTGAAATAAAAAATCTTTTAAAGGGACAGACCGGCTATGTAAGGTTGTTAAACTGAGTATGCAGTGCTGTGGACAATTTTTTTAGGATTCATTTGAGACTTATAAAACTTATTAAAGATCTGTAAGTCCTCAGTTTGAGCTATACCTGAAAATGTTTCAAACAAAAGAAATAAAGTGTGGAAATAGTTGGAAGACGAATGAAGAATGCTTTTGTTTTAGATATCTTGGATTCTGAGACATGTTTTTCAGAGTTAATGTAGGGTATAAAACTATACAAATATGCAAACAATAAACTGAAGATATTAAAGGGACGGTGCACGTCATTTAAAGTGCCGCTCCATACTCGATTCACAGGGACGGTGCACGTCATTTAAAGTGCCGCTCCATACTCGATTCACAAGGACACCCTACCCCTACACAATTCTATAAATCATCTTTATTGTCACTGCTGCCTATAATCAGAAAATCACTTTTATAGAGAACACCCATAACCAGAGAAAAAACAATATTTAGATGGTAAAGCGAGGATTTTTCTATCAGGTTTGTTTAGACAACGCTGATAACGGTATTAATGTGAATGAAATGCCCCTTACAACCAATTGAATAGTGTGCACTTTAGTTTCAGTAGTAGTAAATATTTCCATTTAGTGATAGTGCCGATTGAAGGATTCATACCTCTTATTGGATATTGATATAGATAGAAAGATAGATGTTACCGCCATTCTATTTCTATTGGTTCAGAATAGACAACAAACACATGAGTGAACCCTGATTGGATCAGGCGCTACGCTAATGGACTTGGCATTCAGGAGTGTGCAGTTAAGCTTTTACTTGTTTAAAGAACTCCAAATGATACCTGGGGTACATGCAATGTATGGTATGTCAGAATAAAAATAGAACCTCGAAAAATAGTTACAAAATTTTTAAAAATCCTTGGTACCCTCAACTGAGCCTTCAGTGCGTTCTGCAGTAATTTGCAGTACACTGACCGAAGATATAGAAGGGTTTAGAAGAGAGTGGTGGAAATCTGAAAAATCCTCCCTTTCTTCTCATCCCTACTCCTTTTATTTCCTTCACACCTCCCCTCCTTCTTCTTCTTTCCCCTCCTTCCTTCTTCTCCTTCCCATCCTCCCCCTTCCTTCTCTTTCCCTATTCCTTCATTTCTTCTCATCCCTACTAGCTCCGCTTCTTATTATTCACTCCTCTCCTTCTTTCCCCCTTCCTCCCNTCCTTCATTCCCTTCCCCTTCCTTCTCCTTCCCTCTCCCTCCCTATCTTCTCATCCCTCATCAGTTTTAAGTATCAATAAAATTTCCCCTCTAAAGCTATATTATTCTATACTGCTATACACTGCTTATACCACCACTTGAATATTCAAAATTTAATCAAACATAAATATACATAAAACATACATGATACAGTTCTTTAAAATATACTTTTTAACATATTTAGATATTCACAAAATCTAAATATGTTAAAACGGCTGAATTCATGTGGCCGATTTTTTTTGTGGACACTCATGGGTTGTTATAGGCTACAAAAACGATTTTTTTTTCAAAATGTTTTTTTTATTTTTCAAATATTTATTTTTTCAAATATTTATTTTCTTCAAATATTTGTTTTTCCACGGGCAACGCCGGGCCCTTCAGCTAGTTATAAAATAATATTGAAGTATTAACCGGCCGCGTTCAGTGCAATAGCGTCCACAGAGGGGGGGGGGGAAATAGTCCTCTTCCCAACCATGAGGCGTAGGTTAATATCAGATTTGGTAAGAAATAAAAAATGTAGCTTGCCCCAAATCTCAAATCCTGTGTACGCCCCTCTTTCTAAATAAAAAAATTTCAAAAGTTTTAAAAAACCAAAACAATAAGGCCAAAATATTTAAAAAAATGCAAATTAGATATTTTAAAATAACATTAAAACGACTGTTGTTTTTGCCAAAAATTGTGCTAATGATGTCCCATAATGCAGGTCAAAGCGATGTATCCAACCAAAAGTGAATATCTCATATATTATACAGTCATTACCAGAAAACTCTGTAATAGGAAGACGATTTTAAGACTCAAGTTATGATTTTAAATAGTCCAATAAGCTTGGGACACAGCAATTTTACAGTGTAAACAGACACATTTCACTTAATTAGTGATTTAATAAGTGTCTAGTACAACCTTTTGCTTTGTAACAACCTAAAAAACACATAAATATTACTAAAAAGTCGTCTTCCGATTTCAGAGTTTTCTGGTTATCACCGTAGGTTAACTTAATCTGTCAATTAAATATGTCTCAATTTCTCCCTTTTCTACTTGATGATAATCTAAATCCTTTGGTTGTATAATATATTCTTATTGCAGCTGGAATCATAAATATAATAAATCAAACAAGTTAGGTTTTAAAGTAAATATACAGTCAGATCAATCTTCATAAACCTTGATAAACATTATTTCACATAAAAACTTTTTCATTGGTCAACCAGGGGGGTAGACACTAGACAGTATTACTTTTAAGATAAAGAATTTTTTCAGAATTTAAGTTGTATGAGTTACAACTTACATTGCATGTCTGGAAAAATTAAATGCTATAAAATAATAGTTTAAGCCTTTAAACTTTACTTTTTAATTTCATTTCATTGCAAGTACATCATAGAAACATTAAGAGTGAGAGTTAAAAACCAACATTCTTTTGAGACGAAATCTTCTAATCAGAATTTGGGCCTTTTAATAACTTTTTTTCATATAAAGTAAGTAAAAATTGGATTTTGAAAGCAAAGAAGAAATAAAACAAAATTTAAGATTTTAGTTGAAATAAAATCTGTCTCTGCATTTTTATCTTCCGTTTCTTTTATTCATTTCATATTTAAATTCAATATTCAGATTTATTCCTGGGTTTAAAAATACAAAGCGTTAGGTTCAGAGACAGACAGGATGGAAAAAGAAGATGAAAACATTGACAGACAGACAAACATGACAGACAGGATAGAAAGATGAGATGTGAAGTATCCAAAAAATAATTAAAAATGTTTACGTAAGGGAATTGAGTCTTAGCAACAAACTCAAATTTTCAAATCTCTTTATTTTTGCAACCCAATGTAGATATTTCGAACTAGGAGTTCCGTTTAATCAAATAATCTGAATTTGAAATATCAAAGCTAGGTTTACACCATCAGGTTGCAGAGATATAGGGTTTTGAAATTTGATTTTAAACCCAGAAGAATGACAATATCTTCCACATTAACAAGAAGAAAAAGGTTGCAAGGATACCATTGTGAATCGGGCATTGGATCTTTGTATAAAAGAGTCACTTGAAATTACCTGTACAGTCCCTTTAAGTTTAATTAGAATATTAATCCTCATTTTAAAACGGATTTTTTTTCGATTTCAAATTTGTATGAGCACAATGCATTTATGATGCACATGTAGAAAATGCATTTGTCAAAAAATTTACATAAAGTGCAACGGACATATCAAAACAAACTATTCATTAATTCAATAATAAACTATAGTTTACAACAAACAAAGAAAACAAACTATTCATTAATTCAATAATAATCTATTTTACAACAAACAAAGAAAACAAACTATTCATTAACTCAATAATAATCTAGTTTACAACAAACAAAGAAAACAAACTATTCATTAATTCAATAATAATCTAGTTTACAACACACAAAGAAAACAAACTATTCATTAATTCAATAATAAACTATAGTTTACAACAAACAAAGAAAAACTAAAAAGAAACTTTCATAAAATGATTTTTTTAAGCGTGACAAAGACTCAGGTCTACTCAAGTTCCTTGTTTTAGTTTTAAAGTATCAGCTCTGATGTATAAAGTATCAGCTCTGATGTTTAAAGTATCAGCTCTGACGTTTAAAATATCAGCTCTGATGTTTAAAGTATCAGCTCTGATGTTTAAAGTATCAGCTCTGATGTTTAAAGTATCAGCTCTGACGTTTAAAGTATCAGCTCTGATGTTTAAAGTATCAGCTCTGATGTTTGAAACCTATTTTGAACTAAAATCACTGCTCAGATCAAGGTTTAAAAATCATGTTGTTACAAAGGTAAAGGGATGATAAAGTAAAATTTCAATGTAATGAGTTCCTAATTTTAAAGTAATAGAATTCAACTTAATAAACACTTTTAAAACTTTTTAGCCGACATTTAAATGTCATCAAAACAAGATTTATATCTTCTATCATTTTGATCGGCCAAACAGTGGAAATTATTTTAAAATACGAACAGTTTGTTCTAAATTCTAAAAAAATTTTAGCAAGATAGCACAATGGAATTGAGTTTTTTAAATATCTAACATTTACGACACTGGGTTGCAAGATATAGGGAATAGAAAAACAGGTTTTGGGGCACAGACTCGATTCCTTTGCAAATCTCTCATCTCTTCGTGATTTCATACAGAATGTAAAAAGTTTCGAAATATAGGTTCCAAGTCATTAATAAAGAAATCAGGATTTTAGAAAAGAATTAATCAATTCACTGAAAACTGTCCGGTTTTTAGAACTGAATTTAAAATATTTTTGTGAAGAAATATTCCTGGTTTTGACATTCCTGTCATTCAAGTTTGATATTAAACTTTCTCTTGTAAAGGAGAGTTTCAACTAAAGATAAAGGTTATTCGTTAAAACAACATTATTAAGATTAGAATGATATATTTTCAACATTTTGAATTTTCCTCCACAGATTGATGTCAACCAAAATCAAGCATAATTTAGAAATAAAACATGAACTAAACTATCCTAATCTCTTCTAAAAAAGGATGGCATGGCAGTAGAGATATGCATGTTTTTTTAAACAAATGAAATTTAAAAAACAAAAAAACTTTATAAATCAATCAGACCGTTCATGAACGATTTCTAATTTGTTCGTTCAAACCATAGATAAATAAAAAAACATAGATAGCTTATGTACGCAAAATCACCAAGAATTGTACAGTCCGCGAACTCATACTTCTAGGGGTCAAAGTGTATTTCAATGATAAGCGGGGTAGTTTGGTGTTTTAATGGATTTCATAATAGAGTGTTAAATAACTCCGGGAATGGAACTATTTGAACAACAATATTTCACTGAGCAATATATCATATTGACGAGAACTGAAGAAGGACATGAGAAAGACTAAACTAACTTAAATTTCTCTCTACAGAACACATGTACACCACAAGTACTCAATGAAATAAGAACAGCCAATGTTCACAATCGACCTAGTTAATCTATAAAATAGGAATATCTTTAAAACATCTCTGTACATTTATATCGTTCAAGATGAAAAATTTCGTCTTATGCGCAATCTATCTTTATCTATGGTTCAAACAAACTCCAAAAAACAACAGATTTTTAATGAACAAACTAATTCTGAACGAACCTTTAAAAGAACTGACGATTGTTTTTTGAACGATCTTGAAAACCGATCTGCTTTTTTACTGAAAGAAGTTTTGAAAAACTATAGTTTTTTCAGAACGAACATGTTTTTTACGATTTTTTAAGAAAACCATCCAGAAAGAAGGATTGTATTAAATGCACGATTTTACTGAACGTACGATCATACAATTTCACCAATTGAACGATTTATTCGAACAATCTTTTATTTATTTAAAACGAACCAAATAGTTGGAAAATGAACCAAATAGTTGGAAAATGAACCAAATAGTTGGAAAATGAACCAAATTGTTGGAAAATGAACCAAATAGTTGGAAAATTAACCTAATAGTTGGAAAATTAACCAAATAGTTGGAAAATGATGATTCTGAAAACGAATAACTAAATTTGTTCTTAACGACTGAAAAACAAAAACGAATGAATTAAATAAAAATCTGAAAGTGCCCATATCTAGGTATTGGGGTTGGGGAGGGGGGGTATCTGCTATTAATCGATATAGCTTTACAATTTACGGCCATTAGATAACCATTATTTATGCACTATACAATGTGTATTGTATGTATACAGTTTATATGCATATATTCATTTAGTAAATAAATGATTTATATCTAAATACATTATTTTAAAAATAAATGACTTAACTTTACAGTTTTCTAAAGAAAATTCGATAATGTTAATTTAAAACTGAAAATTACTTTTTACGAAAATACATTTCTTGTTAAAATACATTTCTTAAACCAAATTGTTTTCTCTGTGGACCAGGATATCCAAAGCTATCACGGAAAAATCAAACAATATTTTGCTAAATTTAAACTAGAAACAAGCACGTTGCATGTTTAAAATCTTTATGCCAAGGGCTGCAAAATAGTACATGTTAGTTGGTGAGGCCAGTAAAACCAAAGGCCTAGGCGTTGCGACAGTTTAAAGTCGAGAATGTTGTCTTACTTTCAGAACTGTCTTTATTGCAGCGGCCACCCTGTATACACATTTTTGTAATGTTCGTTTTAAACTGATAATTACTGTTTTCAAATAATCTAAATCTTACATTCAAGCCCCCCTCCCCATATAGATTCAGCCTGCTTATAAACAGTCTCATTAATTTTTTAGACAGGGTCAACTTTGAATGTCACAACGCCTTGGGGTTAGATTTTACCTCTCTAGCTCACTTACCCTTTTCTGTAGCCCTTTACATGTACATTTTAGCACTATAAAACATGTGTTGTTAGCTTAGTAAGAAGTAATTCTCATCGATTCAAGCTTGAGACCTTGAGACCTTGAGACCTTGAGACCTTGAGACCTTGAGACCTTGAGACCTTGAGACCTTGAATTCACAGTGCTCTGATTCTACAATAGTTGTCTGGAATTCATTTCAACATTAAATATATCTTGAATTAAAAGTTTTAACCTCTTGGAGATCTAGAATTACTTGTTAGCTTACAGAGAACAGAAAGCACATGAATTAATTAACTTAAAATTACTGAATAACGACGACGAAAAATAAAGTAAAAATCATACCGTAATCTTATTAGATTTACAGATCTTTAAAAAGTTTTCTATGTCTCAAATGAATCCTAAAGAAGCTTCTCCACAACACTGCATACTCAGTTCAACTACCTTACATAGCCGGTCTATCCCTTTAAAATAAAAAAATGTGACATGTCCAATTCTGATCAAGAATCCATCCTTTTCTTTTTCAGAATTTGATTATTTTATTTTGTAGGTTCACTACAGAGAAATAATACAGGAGGAAATGAATACTTTTTAACCTTGAAAAACTACCTTATCTTCCACATAAAAGATCAGATAAAGGTTTAAATTATGCCTATAATTGGAAGGTTATTACAACAAATATAAATTATATATATATATATAAATAAATTATGAATTAAATCCTACCTTTAATCAAAATATTTAACCCTAACTGAATTATCTTCTAACCTTTTCAGGTTTGAGAGAAAAAATAAACTTTTCAGTTTTTTAATAATAAAATGCTGGTTTCAAGTGTCGAGTATGATTAAAACTTAAATTAAATTTATATCTTATATTACATATATTATTATATATACTATATATATTTATATTCGAATAAAGTAAGCTTGGATTAAACTTTTAATAGTGACATTTTACATCGCACTTTAACTTTAACTTTATACAACTCACACAATTAAAGAAATAACGAGATAATAGATAGATAAATAGATAGATAATTATATAGACGAATAGATAGATATATAGATGAATAGATAGATAGATAGATAGATAGATAGATAGATAGAAAGTTTTAAAAGTTAGAGTTTTATCAGTGGTTTAACAAAAGGAAATTCTTATCAAATAATGGAGTTCCTTTATTTATAATTTTTGATTTATTACAGAGAAAGGAACTTCATCAAGCTATTATTCTTTAAGGTGGATGTTAGTACCAGAGAGAACAGATAAGTATAGAGTTGAATTGAGTCGAAAAATTGTAAAACCAGCATTTTGTTGTACTTTGTCCATACTGCAGGTGTACTTCACTCATTTGTGCTAAAGAAACTTGTTGGGCCCTGGAATATCTTCTTATAGAAAATAATTTTCTTTAAATCAATTCTCTGACAACCTGTCACGCGATCCCGAGTACATTTCAGCATAAACTTTTAAAAAGAAGAATGTGCGACAGATATGCCTAGAGATCATACTGTATTATATAGTGATGTGCTCCGAATATTTTGTAAACATTTACTTTGAACTCATTTTCAGGCTCTGAAAGGGACAGAACAACTAGTTGTATTTCCCTTCTATTATAATATTTTTTCTGTGGTTTGTACCTTCCCAACCCATATACAGGGGGGCCCACAAAAATTGAGACTTCACGACTGCAAATGTATTTACCATTCTTTCTTGCATTCATTGTTTCCTATACAGCCATGTAGTTAAAAATTAAAGGAATATATGTTAATGGCATAAAACCTTTTCAAAATTTTCGTTGAACAAAATTCGCTAAAATGAATGAACGAAATTCGTACATTCTACAAAATTTTCGCGAATTTGATGTATTTTCGACCTCATTTTCGTTCAATTTTTGTTTGATAAAAATCGAAATTTTTCCATTTTGCATCAAGAAGATTAGGTTCCCTTAACAACATGATTAGAATGATAGTTTTATTTAAATAATATTACACTGCTTTCATTTATTCAATGACTGACTATTTTTATGCTTAGATTTGGGTCCAAAAATTATTTTACAGTATGAATAAATTAATTGAATAAATTAATCGGGTTTATCTGTCTCACTGTCGATCTTTAACCATTTAAATATTATTTACTAAATAAGGGAAACTAGCAAATATCGCAGAAAAACATTAATTCCTTTATGGTTTAGTTTTTAAAAATCGTCTATGTATGAAAATTTATGAAATAAATTGTTGATCAGTGATATTCTACATTTCTATTTTCAACTCAAGTAATGGTATCCTGTTTAATGTTGAACCTTGAATATACATGGTTACGCAAAAAGGATAAGACATCTTGAAAATCTTTACCTATAAAGATCTGAAGGTTGAAGTTGGTTTTCTGTTTAAAAAAAATATATGCTCTTTGCCACTTCTTACAATAAAATGCTGATTATTAGAGTTTAAGGCATTTAGCCATACATCAGTCGGGATTGACTGATAGTTAGAGTTTTAGGCAGTTTAGCGCTTGGGAGGCCTTTCATGCCATGTGCAAAATACTTATCCCCCTTTTTCATTGTTTCCACCGATCATCCAGTGGGGAGGACCGAACTTAAGTTCAATGATTAAGAAAGCAGCTTGTTGACAATGCGCTAATTATTCTTTACAAATACATGATAAAATTAGTCTTAGAAATTAATTTAGGAGAAGACTGTTCTACAATATAGCAATAAAATACAACATGTTTAACCAGCAGTTTAAGGATTTCTTTACTCCAGGTAAGGTTGGAGAAACCAGGAGTTCAGGACTGTTTCGCTCTGGGCAGAGATAATATCTTTGTTTCTTGAATTGTGAACGAGGGCTACAGAAAACCATAAGTGAGCTAGAGCGGCAAAATCAAAATTGATGAGACTTTTAATAAGCAAGCTGAATCTATATGAAGGCCTTTACGACCAGGTCTATAATGTTCCGGAGAAAAAATGGAAAACCTAAATTCCTTTATTCAGGGTGATTCCGGTAGTCCCATGCAGATCGGAGAGGGTCAGCACTGGACCCAGATAGGGATTGTATCCTGGGGTATTGGATGCGGCAAATCCTTCTATCCTGGAGTATATACTAGAGTAAATAAAGTCAGAGACTGGATAGATAGGATTGTAACGATCAAGCCCATCTCTCCTAGCTTAAACTTTATGGCTAAACTGCCTCAATCATCAATCCCGACTGATGTATGGCTAAATACCTCAAACTCTAATAATCAGAATTTTATTGTAAGAAGTGGCAAAGAGCATATATTTTTTTTAAACAGACAAAATACTATAAAATAAGTATCGCAAAATTATTAATTATATTATGAGTATAAATAATCCTGCAAAACATCACATTGAACAAATTACATGCCGAATGCAGGATACAGAATACAAGATACAGGCTGCAGGATACATGCATTGCTACAATACAGCATGCCAAAATACGTCATATTGTATGCCGTTGCCTGCTATAGGTATGAATCAAAAGGAGAAGGGTTAAAAACCAGATGAAGTTCCTGGCTTAACAATTGACTCTTCCTGTTAAATATATCAGCAAGGTTGACCCCAAACATAAAACCAGGACCCGCTGGTAGATATAGCAGATTGGAATCCTTTTCTTCTACTTCTATTTCTTCTCCTTCTATTTCTTCTTCTATTTTATCTTCTTCTTCTTCCTCTTCTTCTTCTATTTCCTCTTCTCCTTCTTCTTCTTCTTCATGTTTTTCTTCTTTATTTTGTTCTGTAAATTCTTCTTTTTCTAAAATTTCATTTTGTCCATTTTGTTCAGAAATATTATTAGTGTATTCTTTAAACTCTAATTCCTCATTTTGGTCTTTTCTCCAGTTCTCATTTTCTGAAAATATGAGTTTATCATAAACATCTTTCTCAAAATTTTCTTAAATCGAAAAAGCAATACTTTTCTGACTTTTAATTTGTTTAAGTTAGGAATGATTTAATATCTAAAAAATTTAAAAACAAAAAAATTAATTTAAAGTTAAAAAAAGTTAAATCACAAAAAATGAAATTAAACATTTTCAGCTTTTGTTGGCTCAGGTAAACTCAACTAACAAAAAACATTGCATCTATCCCAACATTGCACAAAAAATAACTATTTTGAACATCAAATTCATGATTTATTGATTTTCTATTTCTACCTTTGAGCAGGCTTGTCTGGTGTTTTGGTGACGGGAGAATTTCAGTTAAATCATCTTCATGTTCATCCTTCTCATTGTCATCATTCTCATCCTTCTCATTCTCATTCTCATCCTTCTTATTCTCATTCTCATCCTTCTCAATTTCATCTTGAATTTTTGCATCATTCCATTCCTCATTTGTTGTTACTTGTTCTAAATCATCAAATCCTATTCTTGATTCTATCATTTCCAAGTCTACAGGAGAATCTAGAAAAAGAAAGCTTTGAGAAAAATTAAATTGAATTTTTTAAAATATGAGAAAGTAAGCAACATTTTTGTCCAAAATAAATTTTTAAATTTCAACCAGCTATTTGAATCGTTTATGTTGTCATGTGAGTTTGGATCCGATCGGTTTAGCAGTTTTGACGCTTGTTGGACATAAACAAAAAGATAAACAGACTGACCATCAAAGTATATATTTTGGCGTGAGTACTTGGGTCTAGGGGGTGATCGATTTTTTGGTGGAGAAAACAGCTAACCACTCACAAGAGTTCGCTACGTAATATATCAAATGGGCTTTACGCCAAATTTTAGACTTTTAAGTTTAAAAACTTTTTACGACCGGCCAAAAAACTAATATAATTAAATTTGTAAACAGCATTCTAATATAAAAACAATTTAAAAAGTATCTTAAGGGGTTCATGAGTTATGATCAGACATACAAACAGACGTTACATTCAATATAGATTCGCTATTCTGAACAATATGTTCCAATTCTCAAAATGCTTTCGGAAAATTGGATTTTATTAGTGAAATTGGTAATACCTATATCTTCTTGAATATATGATACTTTCAATGTGTGTCCCTCTGCTCTTGGAGCTTTTTCTTGTAAAATTTTAAACAATTCTTCCTCTAAAACTGATGACAGATTTATTTGTTGCTCAATTTCTTCTTCTGAAATTAGTTCATTATTCATTTCTTCTTCTGAAGTTATTTCATTATTCATTTCTTCTTCTGAAGTTAGTTCATCACTCATTTCTTCTTCTGAAATTAGTTCATTATTCATTTCTTCTTCTGAAGTTAGTTCATTATTCATTTCTTCTTCTGAAGTTAGTTCATTATTCATTTCTTCTTCTGAAGTTAGTTCATCACTCATTTCTGCTTTCACCGCATTTCCAGAATCATCGTTGTCAGAGTTATCTGTTTCCTCAATGAGTTCACTTACACTATTAACAGTTCCTATTATAGGTTTGAAAGCATAAAAACCTTCCAAGAAATTGTCCTCGTTTGACCTTACAGCAGCATTGTCAGAACTTGAAATTATATCGTTAGAGTATTCTGTGCTAAATATGTCTAGTTCTATATCATCCAATGTATCCTGCTGATTTGCGTCATGTGATGGTTCATTTCCATTTTCTGATTTAGAAAATTCTTGATTTTCTGGGTTGATTATAGTCCAGCTTGTGCCAAATCCATCATCAGCTCGTCTAAATACAGATTTTCTAAAGATTTATTCTTGAGTAAATAAATCTTATTTATTATCATTAATGATGAGTAACCAAGGTAACAATGTTGCGGAAAAAGTCAGAGATATAGTCGAGAATTTCTCAGGAGTGACATAAATACAGAGTTACCCACAAAAGATGAGACTTTAATGAGCACCCATGAAACGCTTTATATATAGAGTTG